GGGACTCCCGAATTGTCCTTCAGGGCACTAGAAGGAAATCCCCACACACAAGGATAGAGGAGCTGGACATAAAGCCTCAGCCTTTCTCTGTGTCCATGAAACCAATGTGATGCAGGTCAGGGGAGAGCAGCCGTGCACTGGTCTGGAGAGACCTGTGTCTGTGTGTCCATGTGTCTGTGTGTCTGTGTGTCCTTTTGTCCATGTATGTGTGTGAGCACTCCCAGCCATGGTGAGCCACTCCCAATATTTCAAAGAGAATTAAGCTAAAAATCCAAATTTGGGTGAAACCATCCTTGTTGGTGCTGGCAATTGGCAGTAGCGGAGTGTGATGTTTAGAGCAGTGGGAGAAGGAGGGCTCAGGAAGCAGGGACTGCATTTCAGTGCCTCTTCCCTGGACAAATCTCCTGCACGCTGCTACATCACTGTTCAACTGCTCTCAGGATCCTTCTGAGTGTGGGCAAATGCTGCTCCGTGATGATCACAGCAGAGCAGTGGAGAGTGTCTCCAGTGAAATCAACGCATTTCACTGGTTGAATGGGACACAGACACACATGGACACACACAGACACACTCACAGGCTCCTGCACATCATGGGGGATTCATGGAAGAATTTGGGCTCACACAGGGATTCCTGTGGACCCTGCCTGAACACAAGCACACATAAACCAGGAGCACAGGAAAGGACACAATCAGCCATGGACGCTGCTGAGGAAACCAGGGAAACCCTGCAGCAGGGCTGGAGCCTTGTGAGGAAGGACAAGGAGTCAGGCAAGGCCCTGGCATAGTTTGTGTGACCACAGGCTGAACAGAGCGATGCACAAAGGCTTTCCTGAAGGCAATCTCAACAGGACAGAGTCGGAACCAGCAGCCCAATGGCGACTCAAGGGGAGGCAAAACCCTGTGAGCATCCGTGTGAGCTGAGGAGGGAAGAAGGGATGGTGTATATGTAAGAGTATGGAAACAGATCCATGTTGGGATGTGTTTTATGTATGCACACCCCTGAATGGGAATATTCACACAGATGTGCATGCACAGACGTGGGTGCAGGAGCAGCAATAGGAGCGAGCGTGCCTGTTTGCACATCAGTGGGGACGTGGCAGAAGGAGAAGTGTCTGTGCCTGGATCTACTTTGCAAACATGTGTACACACACCTGTTCATAAATGCTGAGGTATGAGTTACTGTTTGGGTGTGTACAAGCTCCGGAGTGTGTTTGTGATACCATGTGTGTGGAGAGGGAGTTCTTTAAATACTTCCACTTCTCACGGTGCTTTTTTATTCCCAGAAAGGCATCAGGGAGGCTCAGGGATGTGATGCAAGTGATGAGAAGCAAAGCAGTTCCACTGAGGGCAAGCAGGCACGGAGTGTGTCGGCTTTTCCCTGTCATTTGTCACTAGGTCCCCTTTCCTCACCGAGCAATCAGCAAACATCTCCTGAGCCTTCCTTTGGCTGCCAATGCAATGGGATCAGAAATTCCTTTCCAGATTGCTTTGACCGCTGCTGAAATGTTCCGTTCCAGCAGAATTGTTTTGTGCGCCGTGCAGGGCAGCATCCTTGTGCCCGGAGGGGTCTCTGGCAGCAGGCCAGGCCGTGTGCCGGGCCCGTGGTTGCTCCCGGTCGGGATGCCGGGGGTTGCAGGCGCGGCTCGGTGCCGGCCCCGGCGAGCGGCGTCAAGCGGGAGCGGCAGCGCCCCCTGCTGGCCCCGCCCGGCCCCGCCCGCGGCGGTTCGTGCCCGGCCGCAGCCCCGGCTCCTCTGCCCGTGGCCCCAGCGCGCAGTAATACACGGCCGCGTCCCCGCGCCGGGGCCGCCCGAGCCACAGCGCGCTCCCACGCCGATCTGCCGACACCCACACACGGCCCGCACTGTCCGGCAGCTCTTTGGAGCCCTTGTGAATGCTCACGAGGTATTCGGGTCCCCGGCCAGGCAATTGTCGGTACCAGAAGATTGTTTGGCTGCTCTGGATTTCGGGGTGTGAGCAGGTGATGTTGATGCCGGTGCCCTCGGTGGTCTCCAGGAATGGCTCCTGCTGTACCTGAGCTCTGACCACAGCCACTGCCACGGAGAAAAGAACAATCACTTTTCTAAAACAGAAAACGCCGTTCAGAGGGAGATGGTAGAGGACGACAGATCAGGGTGAAGTTGGGTATCTTTTCAGAATACAGTATAGAGTCATTATTTTTCTGAGAGTGTTTGGTAGGAGATAAGAATATTTGATGGATGTTTTGAAGGTAAATCAGAAAGAAATGTCATAAAGAGAGCGGCTGAAAATGAAGGATGGATGGACGGATGGATGGATGGATGGATGGATGGATGGATGGATGGATGGATTGATGGATGGATGAAGATAAGGAGGAAAAAAGGAAACTGCGAAGCAACGACTTCATGGAGAGGAAAAAATTATGTGGGCAGTGGAGTGAATAGAGGAGAAAAGAAATAGGAGAGCAAGAGGTCTTCAGTTGGAGTCGGTGTCAAATAGCCCTCTGACCCAGATGCCCCTCCGACGCCACCCCTTCTCACCGATGACCAGCGCGGCCAGCGCCGGCAGCGCCGCGCCCCGAGCCCGCCGCATGCCGCCGCTCCGCCGGCCGAGCCTCGCTGTGCCGCTGAGCTTGGTGAAGAAAGCTCCCTGTCTTGCAGCAGAGTCCTGAAAGATTTTGGGCAGGAGTTCAGACCTCTTTGCTCTGCATCATCCAAAGGCGAGCTGGGCTGCCTCCCTGCTCCTGCCCCTTCTGCATGAAGGAACAGGGAACAGCCTGTCATGGCTGAACTGTGTGTGCTGGCACCAGCAACTCTCCCGCTGCCTGAGGAGCCCAGCAAGGCGCAGCAGAAAGGCTCATCCTGCTTCCCCATTCCTCTCATCTCTGAGGGCTCCTCAATCTCTAAGCACACACAATGATGATGCTGGAAAGGGGGAGCCCTGGTTGTGTCCATCCCAGTGAAGTCTGGAAGCCGTGGCAGAGCTGTGTGAGGCTGGAGGCAGAATGGGACACCCTGTTAATGTCAGTGAAGGGAGAACTTTGAGGTGTCTGGGGAGGGCTTAAGAGGAGCTGGGAATGTTGGTTGAAATGGGAAGAATGTGGGACTGTAGAGACAGCTGAGATCTCCTGAGGTGACTGCAAAAGGATGAGAAGAGAGAGGCAGAGGGAGATGGACTGAAGGCAAGAGAAAAGACAGAATAGATGCTCAGGTTTCTCGGTCTTCCCTTTCCCTTTACAAATCGAATACCTCCTTCAGGAATCACTTGCAAAATCACAAAGAGAAAGAGATTTTTCTTTTTCTTTTCCTTTTATTCACTGGCATTTCCCCCATGGTGCTGATAGGGCTTTTGAGGATTTCCTGGGGGGAAGGAAGAAGAAGAAAAGGAGAAGAATAACACGGGTGCCTTGGAGAAGGGGAAAGACTTACCGAGGAGCTGGCCAAGGAAGGCGGTAAGGATGAGATTTGCGAGGTGCATGGCGAGAGCGAGCTGCGTGTTTGCTGAGTGGGCCTTTCCTCACCGAGCAATCAGCAAACATCTCCTGAGCCTTCCTTTGGCTGCCAATGCAATGGGATCAGAAATTCCTTTCCAGATTGCTTTGACCGCTGCTGAAATGTTCCGTTCCAGCAGAATTGTTTTGTGCGCCGTGCAGGGCAGCATCCTTGTGCCCGGAGGGGTCTCTGGCAGCAGGCCAGGCCGTGTGGCGGGCCCGTGGTTGCTCCCGGTCGGGATGCCGGGGGTTGCAGGCGCGGCTCGGTGCCGGCCCCGGCGAGAGGCGTCAAGCGGGAGCGGCAGCGCCCCCTGCTGGCCCCGCCCGGCCCCGCCCGCGGCGGTTCGTGCCCGGCCGCAGCCCCGGCTCCTCTGCCCGTGGCCCCAGCGCGCAGTAATACACGGCCGCGTCCCCGCGCCGGGGCCGCCCGAGCCACAGCGCGCTCCCACGCCGATCTGCCGACACCCACACACGGCCCGCACTGTCCGGCAGCTCTTTGGTCTCTCTCACTGTCAGCACAAGGAATTCGGGCCCTTTGCCCGGGAGCTGTCGGTACCAGTAGATCATTTCGCCCATCCTTATATTGGGATGTGAGCAGGTGATGTTGATGCCGATGCCCTCGGTGGTCTCCAGTGACTGCTCCTGCTGCACTTGGGCTCTGACCACAGCCACTGCCAGGGAGAAAAAAGAAACAAACCTCAAGTCCTACTTTCTACCCAGTTCTGCCTGCCAATGCCAAGAACAAAGCCCAAAGAAGCAGTCAGGAACACGGAGAGATGAGGAGCAAAACCGTTCCCAGAGGATGCCAATAAGATATGTAGGGATGGAAGTGTCCATGAATCGTTTGTGGAGACATGAATGAATCAATGACAGAAGGATCAGAGCAGTCGCAGGAGAATGGGACGATGTGGGAGGAAGAAGAAAAAGAGAAGAAAATGAACAAGGGCTAAGGACTGACTTAGTATATATTAAAGAAAGAAAGCTTGAGCCGCGTTAGGTAGAGAAAAAACCCCAGAGATTATGTGGAAGAATGGGATGGAGAAGAGGGAGGGATGAAAGGGAGAACAACTCTCAAGAAAAGGTCTGAGAAGAAGCCAGGCAGGACGGCAGCCTCCAGGGACCTGCGGGATCACCCCAACACAGAACCGGCCCGTTCGGGACCCCCGCGCACCAATGATCAGCGCGGCTAAGCCGGACGCAGCCCGGGCTGAGGAGAGGGGCTGAGCACGGTCGGTGGCTGAAAGCCGGAGCTGGTGCCGGTGTGGGCGCTGTTGTCGGCGCCAGTACCGGTATCGCTACCGGTGCCTGTGTCCGTGGCGGCGCCGGTTCTGGGGCCGATGTCCATTGTCGGTGCCGGTGTCGGTCCCGGTGCCGCAGCCCGGGCCGAGCGGGAGCGGCAGCGCCCCCTGCTGGCCCCGCCCGGCCCCGCCCGCGGCGGTTCGTGCCCGGCCGCAGCCCCGGCTCCTCTGCCCGTGGCCCCAGCGCGCAGTAATACACGGCCGCGTCCCCGCGCCGGGGCCGCCCGAGCCACAGCGCGCTCCGACGCCGATCTGCCGACACCGTCAGGCGCCCTTCAGGGGATCGCACCTCCTTGGACGCTTGCACAGTCATGACCACGAGTTCGGGCCCTTTGCCCGGCAGCTGACGGTACCAGTGAATGAAATCGCCCCTCTGGATATTGGGGTGAGAGCACTTGATGCTGATGCTGCTGCCCTCGACGGTCTCCAGGAATGGCTCCTGCTCCAATTGGGCTCTGACCGCAGACACTGCCAGGGAGAAAAAACAAACAAACGACAACTCCTGCTTTCTATCCAGTTCTGCTTGCCAATCCCCAGAACAAAACCCACAGAAGCAGTCAGGAACACAGGGAGATGAGGAGGAAAACATTTCCCAGAGGATGCCAAGAAGATGCGCAGCAATGGAAGTGTTAATGAATCGTTTGTGGAGAAATGAATGAGTGAATGACAGAACGATCAGTGCAGTTGCAGGAGACTGGGACGATGTGGGAGGAAGCAGAAAAAGGCAATAAGAAAATAAGCAAGGTCTATGGTCCAACTTTGTGAGTTCTAAAGAAGGAATGATTGTCCCGGTTTATCATAGAATACAATCCGGAGATTTATGTGGGAGTATGAGATGGAGAAGAAGGAAGGATTAACAAGAGAACAGTTCTGGAGAAAAGTCCTGGCAAGAAGCCAGGCAGGACGGCAGCATCCGGGCATCTGCAGGATCACCCCAACTCAGAACCGGCCTGTACGGCACCCCCACGTACCGATCATCAGCGTGGCCAGCGCCGCGCCCCGAGCCCGCCGCATGCCGCCGCTCCGCCGGCCGAGCCTCGCTGTGCCGCTGAGCCCCGGCTCTGCTGCGGCCGTGCCGCCTCCTCTCCGCCGCCGCCAGCTCCGCCCGGGGGCTGAGCCCTGCGCCGCTGCCGCTCGGGCTCTCGCCGAGTCCTGGCGGGGAACGGAGCGGAGGCGAGCGCGGGGGCTGCGGGGCGGCGCTCGGCTCTCTGCACGTCGGGAGCGCCGGGGCCGGCCTGGGGGGCAGGGCATCGGCCTGGCATCGTGGAGCCCACCATTGACACTGCCTGGGATTCCTCCGCTCCCATCATCTGTTCCCTCCCATCCTCCCTTTGCTGTCATGTGGGGACTCCCGAACTGTCTTTCAGGGCACTGGAAAGAAACCCCCACACACGGATAGAGGATCTGGGCATAAAGCCTCAGCCTTTCTCTGTGTCCATGAAACCAATGTGATGCAGGTCAGGGGAGAGCAGCTGTGCAATATCCTGGAGAGTCCTCCTGTGTGTCTCTGTGTCTCTGTGTCCGTGTATTATTGTGTCCGTCTGTCTGTGTGTGTGTGCATGTAAGAGTAGTTTAACAGGATTTGGTGCCAG